CAGAGAGCAGTGTCCAGACTGGGCCGTCAGAGGCTGCCATTGCTCCGGGTTCACAGTAGAACAAAATCTGTGGCCAGGACGCGGGCAGCCAGTAAACCTGACAACAGCCGGCTGAACAAGTGTGACGCCTGACCCTCAGGACCCTTACCCCTCTGCGTCGTCGTGGGGCTGCTGCTGTCCTCACTCCAGGCTCCTTTCTTTCTAGTCTCTAAAAGCCCAGGGGGCCCTGTCAGGGAAAAGTCAGGATGCCTCCCCTTTTTGCTGATTCACAAATGGTAGAGAGTCTGACACCTTGACCGGCTGCATCTTTCGACCCCTGACACTCCTCCCTTCCCTGAAGTGGGGAGAATCCTCTGTCTGAAATGCCATGGGTCCCAGGCAAGGGCTTGAACCCAGGAAGGTCCATAGGGCTTTCTACTGCTCCCAAGCTTGTCACTGACACCAGCAGTGCCCACACACTGACATCCCGACCTGGGTCCCTGAGGAGTCTCCTCTGGTGCAACGTCCCACATCAAGTTCCCAAACCTGTTTGAACGTGGCATGCACAGATACAGCAAAACCGGAACCTTATAAGGGTGTAGCTGGCACACAGGTGAGTCAAACTGTGTCAGGCGGTTCTCAACGGGCCCTCGGAAGGCAAGGGCCCAGCACCCGTGGGGAGCCTGGCCGGGAGCCAGCGCAGCAGACGGAAGGGCGTGTCCCTGCAGGCCAGGCACCCAGCACCCTCAGCCAGAGGCAAGATGTGGGGACCAGGGGACACACCGACTTACAACACTGTCACCCCAGCCCCTCTGGCACTGAATGGACAAGCAGCTCCAAAGCCCAATGAAAACAGAAAAGTAACAGAAGAAAGGTGCAGGGAAGAAACAGACGTACCAACAGCCAACAGATGTAAAAAGTTTCAGTTCACTAACACCTAAGACACAAATTAAAACCAAAGGACAGTGTTTCACTAATCTAACTGGGAGAGAATAAGAAAACAGAGTTTTGGAGGGACGGGGAGGGATGAAACAGGGCATATAACTTTCTATAAGAAAACTTAGCAATATGTATCCAAAGCCTTCACTCAGGAATTCCACTTCTAGGAATTTGTCCTCAAAAATAATGAGAGTTCTGAACTGATTTAAGAGAATCAGGATTCTTTATATACTTTATATATTTATATAAAGATTTAAATAAAAAGATGTTATTCACAGCATCATTTATTATAGAAAAAATTGGAAATACAATATTGGTTAAATTAATTATGGTTTAAACGTAATATGGAAAATAGTATGTAGTCATTTTAAAAATATGTTTTCTAAAAATATTTATGACAGGAGAAAACATTTGCAATATACAGCGTGAAGTTGGAGAGGGAAAGTATAACATGCCTACAAAATACAATCCTGATTCTGTAAAGCAAAGACGAATGCACACATTCTGGATATAAAGGGTCAGAAGGCCATGCAGCAGCCCTAAGCAGTGGCTCATCTTTGGACCAGAAAATTAACCCGCCCACTCACTCCCCACCCCTGCCTAATAAGGTCTATAATGACAAATGTATTTGTTTATATTCCAAAAAGGCCTCCAACATTAGTTAAACAAGTTAGTGAAAACTGTATTAAAGCCTCCCGTAGTGTTATTCTCCCCAAACACAGTAGATACGCCCTGTGAGTGTAAACATGGTCCTCCGTCCCTACTCTGAAAAGCACCCCTGTGCGAGCACTGTGACCAGGGCCCTGGGACGAGGGAAGCGCGGAAGAGGGGTCAGAGGACAGAGGAGCCTGCCTGCTGGGTAGAAACATGGGATGGGCTTCTAGGAGGGTCTTCAGGACAGAGAAGACTCAGAGACAGCATTTTGGGTGGGGCCAGGGAACATGGATGAGACCATTGTGAGACTCAAAATGAGGCTCCAACCAGAGGGTGGGGTGAGGTGCAGCACCCTGCTGAGATAGGATAACTGTGTTCCTTCGCTTTCTCAGGCTACAGGGAAAGGCACCGTTGAGAGTTCTCCATGGTACTGTGTTGCTTCCTATCTTCTCCTCAAATGACAACTCATCACCAATTGCTTTGTCCCCTGCAGACTCTCCCAGCACTGGCTCTCTTGCTACCCTCTGGTGGGCCACAACTTGTTCCCCCAAATACCTGCAAGGCCCCTCCCTCCCAAGTAAGCAGAAAAACAGTGGCCCCACAGCCAGAACTGGGGAATCACAAGTATTAAGGCAGAAATGTTTGGGGAAGTGTAAGAGGCTACATGATGGGGGAGAGCCACCAGGTCAAGAAATAATGTCCCCAAAGCTCTGGGAATTGACCAGCTGTGACAGGTGGCTGACCTCAACTATTTTGAGTGGATCAGAGATGGTTTTCAGACCCAATATCCTGAAATGCAACAGAATCCTGACCTGCAGACTTAACTCTTACGACGTGGGTGCTGTGCAGTTTTCAAAGTGCTTTCTCATGCATCGCCTCATTGGGTCTGAGGAGGTAACAGAGCAGGTACCATGCCCATTTCACAGATGAATAACTGAGGCTCAGAAAAGTTAAACAACTTGCATGAAAACTCACAGGGTGGTAGGTGGCAGAACCATCTGGATTCGGCTCCCCTGGCACCAGTTTCCTCACATACAAACCCAAGTGTTAAGGTGCTGCTGCATTTAGGTTAAAGTCATCACTGCCTTCGTGGTTTGGCTCAGTGGATAGAGCGTCGGCCTGTGGACCAAAAGGTCCTGGGTTCGATTCCGATCAAGGGCACGTACCTCTGTTGCAGGTTCCTCCCTGGCCCACCCTGGTCAAGGCGCGTGCAGGAGGCAACCAATCAATGTGTTTCTCTCACATAAATGTTTCTCTCTGTCTTTCCCTCTCTCTTCCACTCTCTTTAAAATCAATAGAAAAATATCCTCGGTGAGGATTTTAAAAATTAACAAAGACATCACTGTCATAGAGTTCTGCCTCCTATACTTTGACAGCAGAAGTAAAGGCTCCTGCAGAGATGGATTCCATGAGAGCAAACATTTACTAAGAGGGTCAGTGGGAGGGTGAACGCAGAGGGAAGAGCCTCGTGGAGCCTCTGTACGAACAGCAAGGTGAGGCCATCCCCTGAAAGGGGCGGGGGCTGTAGAACCAGCCAGCCTAGTGGGGCCCACTTGGTATGGTCCTTCCAGGAGTGCTCCCAAATTCAACCAAACCTCTGGCTCTGCCACTCACCTCCAGGGGAGCATTCACTGCATCTGAACTTGAACTCAGGATCAGGGAGGCAGGATGCACCCCACTGGGCTGCCAGCACACCCACACCCCCAGTGCCCAAGGAGAGGCTAAGACAGACCCTTACTCTCCAACCCCCAGAGCTGGGTAAGACAGGCAGTCCAGAAGAGCTGGGTAAGAACTTTGGGAGGGCATTGCCTCCAGAGGGATCCTGTACACCAGGCAGCGCCCCCCTCTGGCCCCGCCCGTGGGACTGAGCGTGAGGAACGTGGCTAGTGCAATCCAGGAATGGCATTAGCGTTAGTGTCACTCAGTGCACACTTAGAATCAAGTAGCCATGTGAAGGGGCAGCAGGAGGGACCTGGTGACAGTGCTGGTGGTGACAGGAATGTGCACACGACCTCCACACGTGCCAACGGGTCCCCTGAGGTCCTGGATGTGACACTGACTACAAGAAGTCACTTTGAGGAGTCTCTGTATTTTATTCCACAACAGCCTGTGAATCTATGATGATCTCAAAAGAAAAATTTTAAAAAATGAAACACCACACTGCTATTGTAGTGGACAATGAGCTCAAAAAGCCCGATTCCCACTGAGCTAAAGAAATGGACAATATTTGGAACTCCTACTCATGCCTGCGGGTTCTTCTCCCACAGGACTCAGCGGGCACATTTGATTTGGGGGGTGGGGGCACTCTGCCAGGCTAAAGAGCGGATGGGTGGGGGTGAGGACCACGGAATCAGCACTGGGGGGAAGGGTGCGAACTTACTGGAAACGAGGGGTTCATAGAAAATCTGTAAGACTGAAGATGAGAATGAAATCCTGCAACTCACTGCAGCTTCGAAACCCCCAACCCCCTTCTTCGGCGGATGTCCTGGAAACCCTACACCAGAGGATCCCCCTAGTCGGCAGGGGCGCTGGTACAGGGACCGCGGGACTTGTCTCCCCAAAGGCCCGGCCAGGGTGTACGCGCCCCGGGCACCAAGGGTGCGCGCAGGTGGGGATCCGAGCCCACCCTCCCGCCCCGCCCCTCCCACCAAGCAGGCTGCTTGGCCAGACTTGACCGCGGGGAGGGGGCACAGAGAGAAAGAACAAGAGGGCCGGCTTCCAAGCAGCAGGCAGCGAAAGGCCCGAGGGGCCCCCTTCTCCAGGACCCCGAACAACTGCAGCTCCGCCTCTGCCCGAGGGGTCCCCCATCAAGACCATCGCAGACAAAAGCGTCTGGGCGAAGGAGCCGCCTCTGCAAAGTACAGAAGCGCCAGATCCTATCAGCCAGGAACCCAAACGCGCACTGCTGCCCGCAAGTTCGGGCACGCTCGAGCCGGGCGCGGGCAGCGGGAGAAGCCGCCGGCCGGGCGCGCCCTGGGAGGCTGGGCCGGGGGCGCGCCCTGCGGCTGGGGTCCGGTCCGGGGGTTGGGGCTGGCTGTGGTCTCCTCGTCGCCGGTTCCGAGGCTACTCCCGGGAAGGAGGCGGCACGGTCAGGGACCTCCCCCGGCCCGGGCCCCTGAAGCCCCTCCACCGTGCGGCGTGCCGGGCGCCTTCGGCTCGTGGAACAAAAGAGCCGCTCCCGCGGAGGGTCCGGAGCCCGCGCAGACCGGCCGATGGCTCAGCCCTCCGAGCGCCTGAGCCCCAGCTGGACCCCACAAGGCTGCGGGCTTTGTGTCCGCGCAGGGGCGGGAAGGATGGCCGGACCCTGAATATCACAGACGGCGCCCGCGTTCCAAAGCTGTCGCCAGAGCGGGCCGCCCCCCGTAGCGCCCAGTGCCCTATGGGGCACCCATTCATTCTCAGGGGGCGCAGAGCTGGCCCGAGCTCACCTTGCTCTTGACTTCCACCGCACTGCAGTCGTAGAAGCGCAGGGTCTGAGACTTGTGGAAACTCCGGTTCATGATTCCGGCCCCACTCAGCCTCGTCTTCGCCCTCGCCCCGCTCCAGGGGTTCCAGAAAGACGTTGGGGGCGGCGCCCACCGCCGTGGCCTCGGTCCCAGCCCGCGCTCTTCGGCCGCGGGGCTGGTGGGGACTGCGGGCGGCCCGAGCTGGGCTGGCCCGCGCGCCTCGGGGACTTCAGCGGCCGCGCGCGGGAGGAGCGGAGGACGCCGGCGCGCGCCGCCCAGAGCACCCGCACCCCGAGCACCCGCCGCCAATCTCCACCCCGCGCCCCAAGGAACCGCCCCCTCCAGGAGCCACCCTGCAACCGAGAGCCCGCCCTAGGACCCGCCCCCCTAAGGCCCGCCCCCCAATCCCCGCCCCGCGCCCCGAGGACCCGCCCTCTAGCCCTAAGGACCCTAGTCCACCCCAAACCCGGAGCACCCGCCCTGCGAGGAACCGCCCCGCGAGGACCTGCCCCCGAGCACTCGCGCCAATAAAATTCTCTCCGGGCGGCCGGAGGACCCTCCGCCAAGTCCCACCCCGCACGCGGAGGACCGATCTCCCGAGGACCCGCCCCCAAGGCTACTAATCTGGTGTGGTGCGCGCTTCTGTACGCGCTATGCCAAGCTCGGGCGAAGAAGCATCGCCTCACCCCCACCCCCACCTCGGGTGCCTCATTTCCACCTCCGCACCCGGGCTTTCTCTCTCCAGCTCACCCCGCTTCGACTGCCCTGCCCGGGAGGGGGGTGGCTTTGGGCTGAGTTTTGCCATCGTCTTGGATGATATGGGAACCACACTAGGCCATAGAGTATGAATATCACTCAACCCTTTAATACAGATTGCATTACCCAAAATTTGATTTTCATTTAATTTCACTACATGTCCTTTTACTGCAGGATACGATAATAGAAGCACAGAATTACAGTCCCTGCCCATAAGAGAGAAACAGGCTGGCCAGGGGCCAAACAGAGTTCCAAAGCAAGGTGCATGGGAAGTAAGCAAGCCAACAAAAATGCCAAGAGATTCCCACAGAGGCAGGGGAAACTATTCCAGACAGAAGGTTGAGGATGTCCGTTGGTCTGAAAGGTGGAAAGGAACTGGCATATTAGTTTATTATCTATGCAAAATTTAACAAATTCCAGGTTTCCAAAAGACACACATTGAGCAAGCTCAGAAAGAGCAAACTGCACAGAGGTGCCGACTTTCTCTCAAAGGACAATTTCCTAAGCTGAATGCCAACCCAGAGAAAAGTCACAGGTCACTGCTGGTTGCTGACAGTGGACATTATTGTTCTGTGTGGGTAGGAGAGGCTCAGAGGCATGCTCAGGCAGGACAAGGGGTTGGGGTGAGGGTGGAATTCTAGGGTGGGATGGCACCTACTAGCAAACTTAGGACTTGAAGAGTGGGAGAAAAGGCTAGAAGTTCCAGAATTCCAAGCCTGATGGGATGAACGCATGTCTGTCACACCTATGGCGCAGTGTGGTCCGAGGCCCAGCAGCCCCTGCTCCAGCAAGCACTGGGGAGGCATTCCCCACCCAGATCCACTGAAGTGGGCTCCGCACTTGAACAAGATCTTGGGAGGTTCTTGGGTGGCAGCTACCTGCTACCCTGTCAATTCTTGATTGGCAAGATCAGCAGGAGAAAAGGCTGGGAAAGCTGGCAGTTCCCATGTGGAGCCTGAGTTTTCAGCCACAACTTGGCTAGGGCTTCAAGCCTATGGGTAGACAAGAACAGCTGAGCCTTCGGCTGGAAAGCTTCTTTTTGGTCCAGCAGCACAGTTGTAAATCTCTCCACTGGTCCTGGCCTGACACACAGCCGTGGGTCAGAGAAGCCTGGGAGGCCCATGGGCGGGCTCTCTCTAGCTGTCAGGTGGGCTCCAAATGGTGCAAACTTGCCCGTCACGTGCTGATTGCCAACTGTCAGTTATCTCTGAGCCAGCACTTCAGCAAGGCATTCAGAGATTTCAGTGAAATTAAATGTGGAGACTCAGCAAAGGGAATTTGGGGAAGCCTTGTATTTCCACTATGGTCTGCAGGCATCTCATGGAGGACCTGAACCTAAGATGACCTAGATGACCTTGGACAATTCACTTAACTGACCTCAGCTTTCGCTTGTGAGAATGCTGCAGGGCTTCTCTGGCCTGTTTCATGGCGATATCCTGGCAACCAAAAGACTCATCAGATGAGGCCCTGCTTCGAAATCATTAAACTGCTCTGACAGTACAACTTGCAGGAGGGGTGTTGTGCCTTCCCAGGGTGAGTGCCAGGAGTGGGCACCTTCCCCTTTAGATGAACTAACACGCCAGCCAGAGGCATTCCTTCCCTGCGGTTGGGGCTACAGAGGTACACACTCACATTTATACAGGGCTCACTGCTAGCTTCAGGGACAGGGAGGGGTCGAATCCTCCTCAAATTACCCATCCAGAATTGGTGCCCGAGCCCCCAGGATCCAAAAGGAAACATGCTGTAGACTCAGGAAAATGTGTTCCCCCAAAGCCCTAGGCGTTCCTTTCAGCTGTCAGTAGCTTAAATGGAAGGAACCATCGTTTTTAAATCTCTAACTTCAAGGTACATGGTGACTAAAGGCAATTTCATCAGAAAGAAAGGGGAATTTAATAAATAAGAGATAAATTGTTTTTTAGATCCTGATAATAGAGAGAAAAAAGGTCAACCTCATGTGAGTTGCTGAATCAGCAGATCTTGTTGATGGAGAGGATATTGTGACGGAGAAGAGACCATGGAGGTGAGACCACGACAGAGAAGAGACTGTGGTGGAGAGGAGACCATGACGGGAGAAGACCGTGGTGGGAGGAAACCAGGAGACTGTGGAGGAGAGTGTGGCGGGGAGCAGGTGGTTGTGGAGAGGAGACTGTGATGAAAGGAGATGGTGACAGGGAGGAGACTATGGAAGTGAGGAGACCATGGCAGAGAATGGACCACTGTGGGGAAGAAACTGTGACATGGAGAGACTGGTGGGAAGGAAACCGTGCGGAGAAGGGACAGTGACGGGGAGGAGACTGTGAAGGAGGCCATGGGGGGGAGGAGAGGAGACCATGGAGACGGATGTGCATAGTACATTCCCAGGGAAATCTGGCCCAAAGATACTTAGCTACTTTAGCAAGAAAGTTCAGCAGTATTATCTGTGTAGTGAACTTTGTACAAAATAATTTTGTTAATAATCTTAGAGTATGCACACAAATGGTGCTTTCTTTTTAATGAGGAATGGGACATTTGCATAATGTCAAAGTACCTTCCCACCTAGCCATTAACTGCAAAGGGAAATAGTGTAATTTCACAGTGGATGTCTGGCAGACACCCTTTAATAAAGTGATTAAAGTGAATGCCAGTAATGGGACAAACCAAAATTGTTCACCACCTGACTGCATGCAGCAGTGTGTTAATAGTGAGAAAAGCTGTTGGGAAAATATAACATTACCAAATGTAGGTAGCATTTTTAAATAAATACATTTCAAATAAAAGAAAATTATCCATTCCAGCATTCTTTCTGATGGTCTCTCCTGCACATCGTCTGTCCTTTTAGGCAGATGAACCTGCCTGTTGAGGAACATAGAGCATGTAAGGAAAGACAGTCTTTCAAGATTTTTATGCTAATCTCAGTAGTTTGAGTCATGCAGCCAAATGATCTGGATTGAGGCAGACTTTATATGACAAAGCAAATACTGTTCCGGTTATCCTTGAAAGTATACTGTTATTTGCATCTTCCTGTCGAATCTTTTTTATTATTATTATTTTTTGCAGTCACTTTCGAAACCAGTGGGATGGAGAGCACAGTATGGATGCCAACTAATCTATCCTAATGCAGATCACTGCAAATAAGCAGCTTCTAATTAACCACTCAGGAAGAGGCAAAGACCCATTCTCTTTTTCTAGTGCATGGAAAATAGAGTGTATGATTATACTTGGACCACTTCTTATGAAATAAGGAAGAACTCACCTCCTCCCCGCCATTTTCTAAGTGGGAAAACAGGCAAAGTGGGACAAGAACTTGGCATAGATCCTCAGATGTGATAGAATAAGGTTAAGCAGTTCATATTCAGAACTTTTTAAGTGTTGAGAAATTAGATTAGGTATATTGTTTAAACTTCAGATATTGTGGGTATTTTGATCCTGATTGGCTCTGACAAGTCAGGCCTAGGGACCCCAACTGTGCACGAATTTGTGCACCAGGCCTCTAGTAAAATGAATAAAAGTAACCAAATATTATCTTCCCTGAAAGATGCATAATTTCTCTAAAATGATCTCATGCATTTCCCATTGTTTTCAGAAGTCATCTTCCACGAAACAGCAGCAAACTGCATGAAGCTCCTGTCCTTTTTAGGACCAAAGACACTTTCCATGTAATGATAAGACCTTATCTCTAAATCTGCCTGAAAGTCCCTTCCAGCATTCTCAGGAAAACTGTCTTAAGAAAACTATCCAACCCAGTAAAGCCTTAGTGTTATTCATTGCTATTCTTACTCAATTTTCACCCTGGCTGAGTAGCTAAGTTGGTTAGAGCATCATCATGATACACCAAGATTGCTGGTTTGCTCCCTGGTGAGGGCACATACAAGAATCAACCAATGAATGGATAAATAAGTGCATCAACAATCCAATTATTTAAATGTTTCTCTCTGTAAAATCAATAAATTAAAAAATGTTTTTAATTATTCAATATTGTCGAGTTTACTTTTACATAAATTTAACATTAAAATTTCCATATTGTAGATTGTAAACTGCAAGAAACTATGTTCTGTAAAGATATTCATGACAACTAATTTTGAATTTGTATTTGAAGGTATGACCACACTGAAGTATGGTAGCAACCATCTCAGGTAGAAACTATAGTTTAACTTTAACCCCGCTGTTTGGCTTCTGTACTTATTTGCTTTGTTTAACAATAGAAAAGTTATTTTGATTTTCTGAATTATATAAATCATCCCATTGGTTGTGGTCATACTGGTCTTAGAAAGCACATTTTCCTTTACCTGGGAAGGACAGCACAGTTATCCCAAGGTCAGAGGGCTCCAGTTAAGTGTCCCTGTTTACTCAGTGTTTCAGGAGACCCAAAACTGTAATTTAGATAACATGCTTAAGTCTGACCAGGTTCCTCATTCCAGACCCCGGGTTCTAGAGAATGTGTTTCTGTCAATTCAGTGATCCAGAGACCCAAAACTGTAATTTAGATAACATGCTTAAGTCTGACCAGGTTCCTCATTCCAGACCCCGGGTTCTAGAGAATGTGTTTCTGTCAATTCAGTGATCCAGAGACCCAAAACTGTAATTTAGATAACATGCTGCTTCTGCTTCTGTAAACTGCTTTTTTGCAAACCAGGTTCCTCATTCCAAACCTTGAGATGTAATCAATACCTTTGGGATCTTTGCCTATATAAGTCTGGCTTTGCCACCATCTTGTCACTATGAGATTTGGGGAATGGCCCCTCGTAGTACCGGATTGCAATAAATGTGACTCTTTAATTCGACTTCTTGAGGCATCCTTCTGTTATTCGTGGGATACATTACAACACACAATCTTAGTTTATGCACAGTAAACATGTCTATATGGTTGCTAAAGTTGGTTTATAATTTAAATATTAATAAAATTATAAATTTTTATTGGAAAAGCTTTCCTTCTGAAAAAGACTTTTACTTTTTTTGTTTAAAAATAAACAATTGCCCTGCCTGCATGGCTCAGTGGTTGAGCACCAACCTATGAACCAGGAGGTCACAATTCAATTCCCAGTCGGACACATGCCTGCATTGCAGGCTCTATCCCATGTGGGGCATGCAGGAAGCAGCCAATCAATGATTTTCTCTCATCATTGATGTTCCTATCTATCTCTCCTGTCCTCTCTGAAATCAGTAAAAAAAAATATTTAAAAAATAAAAATAAACAATCATAGCCCTGGCTGGGTGGCTCAGCAGGTTAGAGCATCATCCTGATACATCAGGGTTGCAGATTTGATCCCGGGTCAGGGCACATATAAGAGGCTTCTCTTTTTCTCTCTCTCCCTTCCTTCCTCTCTCTTTCTCCAAAAAAATAAAAAATAAACGAACAATCATATTGCTCATGATTTTATGAGTGGGATAAAGTGGTTGGGCAAGTACCTTCTTTAAAAAGTTGTGGAAAACTAACCTCAGCTACTATTTAGCAGCAAGCATTATTTTTTCCTCTCAAAATGTGTAACTATATCATCTGTGTGAATGATGGTATTAGCATTTGTTTTCAAACTGACAATATGGTGGATTTAAAGATCCCTAGCGATACAACAGATTTTGGCTATGTGTGCTTACCTGCCTGCTCACATCTGTCCTGATCCCTCACTGCCTTCATCAAGACTTTTGCCCTGTGGTCCATGTTACAGAAGACACTGAAGGTGTATGCTCCCTGCAGCTTTGTGGGAGTCACACTGAGATTTGCCTGGGTCCCTCTCACTCATTCACTGTTAACAAGTGAATTGATGTGGTTTTTATTTACTAAAAAATAACATCAAATAAAGTTAAATTAATTCAGAGAAGCTAAAATAGTATGCTACATTTAACTAAATAGACTTTAAATATGTAAAGCTGATGTACCCTGGCCGGTGTTGCTAAGTGATTAGAGCGTCAGCCCAAGTACCAAGAATTAAACAGTTCTGTTTATAGTGGTATAACAAATTTTAATTCAAAATAGACACTCTGAAAACAACAGGTAAAAAAAAAAAAATAAACTTCAACAAGCTCTTTTTGAATTTACAACAGAGTACACCAATAATCACAGACCAGTTTCACAATTGCCCCCAAAATGCACATTATAGCAATTACATGCAAGTATTATATTTAAAACCCATATAGTAACATTATCTTATTTTCCAGAGACTGTCAGATCCTCTGAATACATTGGAAAGGTCCCTCTGCTGTGTGTCACCAGCAATAAATATGATTTAAGGTCTAACCTGGTTGGTCTCCATTACTGGTTCTGGTGCTTTAAGTTCTTTTATACTGTTATGTGAAAAGAAAAAAAAAAAAAAAAAACACCCCAAGGTTTAACTGTACAAAGAACAGTAACACAATGGAGTTCATTCCCTATACCCATCCCATTAGTCAGACATTGGGCTATGGAACACCCATTTCCCTAGTATGAATACGCTGACTTCTAGGAAACTGTCAAAAATTAATGGCCCAACCATGGAACTTAGCTCTGGTCTACTGATTTCCCCTTGTCCCTGAAAACTTATATTTCAGTATCCACACTCAGGGGTAAAAATTTTATTCCTGAGTAACATGGTCCTTCCCTTTCACTGGTTTATGAACAGTTAGATTAGTAGGAGAGTGTGTGTGTATTTTCAATGTTTATTCTAAAGGCACTAAAGATTTATTGTCTTACCTTTGAATGGAAATATGACTTATCACCATATCAAAAAGAGGGAGAAGTCTACACTGAAAAGAATTACTTTATTTGTAATAGAACTCTTATGAGCTAAAATACCAGACTTCAGGTTCAGTATATTTTTTTAACAAACAAAAACATTTGGTTTTCTATGAGTTATAATCAAAAATGGCTAAGACAAACCTTAAAAAGGTAAATGAAAACTATAATCTAATAAGCAAATATCTTACAAAAATAAATCAGCATAGTGAATGCCATGCACCCTTAGCAGCTGCACACATCACAAAGGTCTGGGCTCACTTCTCTACACATTTACGGCATCATTTGCAGCTATGTGTAAAGCTGAGAGAGATCAAAGTTTTAATTTGCAGTTAACTAATAATCTGAAATAAGCTGAAATTTCCTTAAATGAAAAAACAAACAAATGTAGATTTCAGTTTTTATCATATGATCCTGACACTACTAGAAAAACAAGGTGTGCACAAAATACCGAAAGATTTAATTTACACAACAGAAGAAAAAAACTAAAAATTGTGACAAAATCCAACTGCAGAGAATTATAACTTTAAAAGAACTATCACTTCTTCATACGAAGTCTTGCTGAGCACCTGAAATACATCTAAAGAGCAGCATAAAGACCACTGAAATTGATTAGTTCAACATACAGTGAAGAAAATAACATTTTTTAAATCTCAATTAAAAAAACTAATTTCCTAATTTTTTACAAGTTTTGTGGTTCATACTCAAAGTTCAATCTATGTTTAACATTTTTAAGTTCAGACATATCAAAGCCTAAAAGGACAGAAGGCTTTTGACTTTTTATTGCTTTCATGCAAATATATCTTCTTTTCCCAAAAAATGAAGCCACATCAATTTTCCACACCCACAAAAGTGAGGACAGCAGCTCTACTTCCTTTTTACTAGGATATGGTCTCTTGTGAAAATAATCTTTAAGAAACTGCTTTTTTTCTTCATAAGAACGGTCTTCATATTTTTTGGGATTTAATGCTAAAATCTGAAGAGCGTCATCATTAACAACAAGTGGTCCCTCCGTCCTGCTTTCATTCCTTTGTCTTTTAAGAGGAACGACACTGATTACCTTCTCTGGAGCTGGGGGCACATCGGTGTTTATGGCCAGAGGTCGTTGCTCCCCTTCCTGCTGGTCTTCTGCCCCAAAGTGGCCATCCGGCAGCTTTCTCTTTACTGAAAAGCTGGAGTCGTGCAGCACCTCACCATTGACTACAAGCAGCTCGCTGTTCTCAATGAAATTCGGCTGGACTTGCAGGTCTGAGCTGCTGTCCTTTGGAGCACTTCTGCAGCGTAGGAGGTGGATGGCAATGGCCGCCAGGGTCATGTTTCCAGTGTAAACCCCACAGCAGTGAATGCACTTGAAAGCTGGAGATTTCAAAATTGTGTGGACTGTTGGCGTGATGTGGTGCCTGTCCTTCAAATGGAGCTCATAGGCCTCAGTTGTCGCAAAGGTGCCAAAGCAAAAGGGGCAGGTCAATACCTGTTTGCTGGGTGCACCCTCCATCTGAGGCCTCACTTTAATATACACCGGCACGAGTGACTTGGAGTGTATCCCAGCCAGTATTGCCAAGTAGACTTCCCGCTCCCCCAACTCTTCCTTTGGCAACATGGTAATGAAATCAAGATGGGGAAACAGCAGGTTGCCATTGGCATCAATATCCAGTTGGAAACCTTTGTTACGGTAATCCACAGGTACCTTCTTCTTCCCCAGGTGCATGGTCCTACTGTGCTCTGAAAGATCTTTAATGTCATGGAAAGTGCGTGGGCAGAACAGGCACCCCAGGCCATGCCTCAATAGGTGATGCATGAGCTCTTCCTCCGATATCAAGCATTTACAAGAGAGACACCGAACTGTCTTCTCTCTCATCCACTTTAAAAATGGTGCACATGCAGCCAGTTTTTCTGGCTCCAGTTTTTCAGCAGATTTGGACTCACCGTGCTTATGAGCCACTTCCATATGGACCTGGTAGACATTGGAAGGGAAGAGCTCATTGCAAACTGGACATGTTTTCCATTGCTTCGCCTGTTTGAGCACTGGGCTCACCTCTGCCACAGAGGAGGAGGGCTGAATGAACACATTCGGAGCTGCATTCACCACCACTGGGGGAGAGGGCATGCCAGCCATGGGACTGGCCATCTGTGCGGCTGTGCCAGACGGTAGGAGCTGGATAGGCACCTGGGGTGGGGCGACACCTGCAACGCCTCCAGGTGGCACAGGCAAAGTGACAGATACTGGAGCAAGTGTATACGTGGGAATCCCATTCACCTGCTTTCCTGTAGGTATCAGCTGCCTGAGAATGGAGCCTGATGTCAGGAAAGTTGTGTTTTGTGAAGCACCAGGTCTAACTGGCTGATTGGCAGGTAGAATGTTGGTATTCACAGACTGATTAAGGTGCACGACCCCAGGCCTCGCTGGCTGGCTCACAGGAAGAACTCCTGACATGACTGGCTGGCTGAGATGAAGCACACCAGAATTCACAACCTGGTTCCCAGGGAGAATGCTTGACGAGACTGTTTGGTTGGGAGAAAGGAGCCCTGGTGGAACCACCTGGCCTGCAGGGAGAACACGCAGGGGGACCGTCTGACCAGGAGGGAGCGCCCGTGGTGGAACTGTCAGCCCAGTGGGGAGAACCCCTGACGGAGCTGTCTGGCCAATGGGGAGAACCCCAGATTGGACCATCTGGCCAGCAGGGAGAACCCCAGAAGTTGCTGTCTGTCCTGAAGGGATAACCCCAGCCGGGGTCATTTGGCCTGCAGGAAGGACACCTGATGGGACAGTCCGATTTACAGAAATCACCCCTGGAGAGACTGCTTGAAGAACCCCAGGGGTGACAGAGGGACTGACAGGAAGGACAGTGGACCCAACAGGTCTGTTTACTGAGAGAACCCCAGAACCAACTGGTCGGTTTACAGGCCCAACAGGCTGGTTAAGGGGTAAAACCCCTGGGCAGATGGTCTGGTTTATGGGGAGGATACCTGTTCCAGCAGACTTACTGACAGGTCTAACTGGCTGACTCAAGGGCAACACAGGAGGATTTGCTGACTGATGTAGTGGGACTCCGTGAGAAAGGAAGACAGGCTGTGGCCCTGAGGGTGGCACAGCGAGGCTGCTCTGGCCCCCAGGCAGGGGACTGGAGACGAGAGTCACATGGGACTGGGCAGTGGCAGGCGGAGAATGAGTGAGGCTTCCAGAAGCACCTGAGGCCACAGTTACTGGCTGGACTGAGCCCTGAACTGGCTGGACAGCAGTCTGGCTTTGACTATTTGGCGGCAAGGCAAGGTGAAAACAAGATGTGGCAGGGACACCCGGAGTGCTGCTGCTCGGTGGTATGGTCATGTGTGCAGCTGGTTTGGGAGCGATATGCATTTGCTTCAAAAGTCCAGTCTTCCTAATATGTTCTGAAATCACGGACCTAAGCTTATTCTCCAAATCCCTGTGTATGTCCGACGTCAAAATATGATACATTAATGCATCCTGACTGCTAGCATTGGCGTTGCACTTTTTACAGTAATACTTGTCAGAGGGTGGCATCTTCTCTGTAGAAGGGGGATCATCAGTTTTGGATTGCTCAACCATTTCCTCAGTTCGTAGACCAAAGTACGAGTTAATTAAGTAGTGAAAATGGGCTACCAGCACATGCTTCTTCATGCTGTAGTACAAAGTGTTTGAAAAGTTACATTTTAAACATGTAAAACTGATGACATCACTCCTGGACGACTTAGTCTCACCTAAGATGTTCACTGTGTAACTCTGCACTTTCCGAACAGGTGCATGGAACATTTTGAAGTGCCTTCCCACCACTTTGGGCTGAGAGGTAAATACACAGTTTGGGCAAGAGATCACCAGCTCTTGATCAATTTCATCTTCGTGGTAACGATGCAAATGATTTTTTAATGAAGTAAGCAGTTTTGTAGAGTATTTACAGAGGCTACAACAGTATGGCTTTGTTCGATATCTCTGTTAAAAGAAAAAGTCCAGCATCATTTAATAAAGCTATTACATGTGAGATACACCTATAGTTCACAAGTATATGACTTTTTTGTTTTAACATGCTAGATAACTTAACACTATC